GCACCCATAGCGCCCCCTCTCGACTCCGACCTTCCCCCCCACCCGCTGCAATACCGACTTAGTCCCCCCTCGGATCTTTTCCCCCCACCGCGCGAATCTTCTTCCCCCGCTGCGCCCCATTCTCCCCCTCCACCCACTTAGTTTATCATCAATCAAATATTAGTTAATTTCTTAATTACTTTAATCCCTAAAATCTTTTTCAAAATACTTTTGTAACAATCTGCGATCAGCCCCTTCGAAATTTCTTTTGAAATACGTTGAAACTAAGTAGTTAATACTTCGAAAGCTCAGTATTTCCGAATTTCTTTAAATAGTTCATCTCTTTTTGGAATACTTTTTATTTTTTCCCAAATTTCTTTGGAACTCCTTTTTGCAATTCGATTACGTTTTTATTAATCCTTTTTCGAAAATTTGAATTTGCTTTTTTCATTGCTTCAACTATTTTCGAATAAATTCTCGAAACTAATTCGAAAATAATCACCCTTTTTTGTAATTTCGAAATTTCTTCTAAAATATTATTTTTAAACCTTGAAAATAATTAATTTTTACGAAAKTATTTTGCAATTTCTTTGAAATATTTTGAAATTAATTTGAAATTCCTTGAATACTATAGCATTAATCTCTTTTATATATACTCCTAATTCCTTCCGAAATTTTCTTGAAATTCCTTTAATTAATTAGTCCGTTTCGAAAATTTAAATTCATTTGAATTAATTCCTATTTCGAACTTCTTTTCGAATGATTTCTTCCAAAATTGCAACGAAAACTTTTTTTTTTCCAGTAATTCGAGAATATTGCAAGGGTCCTGGCTGACCACGTCTTGCCAGAGTGTATCACAATGCATGCAATGTCACCTTTCACACAAATTATGACTCAACACACACAACGCAGAATGGGGATGAGATGAGAACCAAGACGCGCAGCTCATATTATCTCAAATACATTATGAAGAGTATCTTGAGTTCATGAATCCAAGTGCTCAACAATCGTGATATGTCCCACTCTCGAACATCAGCACAATGGGGCCTGGCTGAGCCAGCGTCAACCTCCCAGCAACTTGTCAAGCGCAAAACAGGTAAGTAGTCACCATAGCCAACTCGTCAACCTGTCTCTTTTCTCTCTCTCTCTTTCCTCAAGATCTCAGTCTCGGTCCTCCTCTCTCATCATGCATGCTCACTCCTACTTCGAGAATCTACTCTGAATGCTACTCGCTGTAGACTAAGTCCTATCCCACTAACTATACTAACTAGTAGGGCTGCTATGTCTGCCACTTGCAAGCCAGCACCCAACTCTCTTCTTTCCACCAGCGCAACTTCTCCTCCAGCGCTAACCCAGCTAGCCAGCGCACAAGTGCACACAGCACTTCCACGCCAACATGCCAGTCGGAATCTGATGTCAAGGGAGGCT